TCTCGAAACGTCATAGCATTTCCACACCGGCGATGACTGCGGCGCCAAATCATTTATGTCCCCACGCATCATGCACGTCGTCACGCGTTGATGTCATCAAATTGCGATCGGTTCCTGAGATCGGCCAAGTTGGTGAGTACCGATCAAGTCATAAAATATGATTATCGGCCGATACCGATCTCCAGCTGATCGATCGGAGCATCCCTACTGTTTCCACAAAAATATTAAGCAGCACAACCGTTTTCAACATTGATATCAGCATATTAGAATGATTTCTGAAGAATAACGTTACACTGAAGACTGGAGTAATGATGCTGAAAAATTAGCTTTGCATCATGGGAATAAATTACATTTTCAAATATATTTAAACAGAAAACAGTTATTTTAAATTGTAATATTATTTCACAGTATTGCTGTTTTTACTGTATTTTTGTAATCAAATAAATTCAGCCTTTATAAGACTTCTCTCAAAAACATTAAAATAACATTTAAATGGTAGATTATACCATACATCTTCAATAATTATTAGTAGGTCATATAATTGATTAAACATTAATAAATGATTGTGATTCATTTGTAGGTAAGCAAGAACCTTCTACAAGGCAAACATACTTCTCCATAGTTACCTGAAAAAATACAGACATAATTTAGTTCCCTAAATGACCTCAAAGAAATATTGCACATTAAATAAAAGCTTGATTGACAGCATCTGTGGCATGCTGTTGAAAACCACTGAAAATTTTGAGATCCCTGTTCGAAAGAAAATGAATGCATGTTGCATGGTTTTCTTAAACATCTAACCCTCAGAAGAAAAAAAAAAGATGTCAGCTTCACACTGGCACCATATAAACCACGGCTGAATCTAAACATCAAATCGTTTCACATGCAAAAGTTTAATCTAGGCCAGCAAAATGTCAAAAATCGCACAACCACAGCAGTAATTTACTGTGACAACTTCATTTGACACAGACACATGCACAAAGAAGCCTTTGTCGTTTCCAGATAAAAAGTTTATTGATTTTCATCATTTGTACATGCATATAGATCGACTCGGTTGGGAGAAAATGCTTCAGATTTTTAAAGTGGTACTCAGTGCTGTCGGTTAGGTCAAGGGTGCATGGGTGCTTTATCAGAAGTGCTCTTTCTTCACTGAGAAATCAGTCCCTGACGTCTCAGTAAACAAGTTGTGCTTGTTTTAAACCTTCACCCACCCTCTTACAAACAGATTTTGTGCAACATTTATGCATACTATTTTAGCGTTTGCATATCAAGGTTTACAATTTCTTGGTTTCGAGATATGTAATTGATCCCTGCTTCTTTTTTTGCATGGTGTCCACTGACCATCCACTGATACTGACTTCAACAAAAACAAACTGAGATAGTCTTATGAATCGCTTTATAATATGTCCTATATAGGATACTTGGTTTTCCATTAGCCCTATTAACTATTGATGGTGGTGTCTCAAAGGGCTATATGATGCAGCAGGACTCACAGGGCCAACAGCATGTGTTACGAGCTTGATGAACAGGATTTTTCAAAAACAAAAAAACAAATCAGCCCTTTAACAGCAGCTCTATAAACAAATCCTCAAAACTTCACTTCATCTGATAAGGCAGAGGAAAGACATAGGTAGCAGCATTGCGATTTAAAGAGATTCTGCTCATTTTTTACTACATTATGATTACTTTTGAAGGATTTTTAGCGATTAGCTTGTATGGGTTCTACCGATGAAACAGACGTTATATTTCATATAATGAACATAACAGCATAAGTTTCTATAGTACAAGTTGCTTTCGGATGTGTGTGATTAATGCTACTGAAAAACAACAGCAGGGTGAATCTCACAAAAACACATCCAGGTCACATTTCATCCCAAAATCTAATGGAAAAAAGGTAATAACATTTTTTATTTGAATCAGCATTAATTATAGGCAGTAGAACAACTGTTTACACAATGTACATACTTCACACTTTATATAATATATAATAAATTTTCCCACAATTACTGTAATAAGAAATGAAAGGGTGTGCTTAATTTAAACGCTAATACTTTTTTCCATTTAATTTTGAGTTAAACATATCATGGATATGTTCCTGAGCAAGTCCGATTCACCCAGTCATATCAGAAAAAAAAAATAAAAATTAGGATGACAAGTTTTGCTTCGCTCAGACTGCGTAGAGAGAGCCGTACATTGGGGTGGAGTGAGACGAGGTCTTTGCAAACCATATCAAAAATCATAATTCAAGAGGCAAAAATCTGTTCAAGCTTTGCAAAGAGGGAAGAAAATATGTTCTCTTCATTTGAACAATAATTATAAAACTAAGCAGAGAGTTCAGCCACTCAATTGCTGGCATAACGAGAGCAAAACTACAAGGTTTTGCCATAAATCTAAGCAAACAAAACAAACATCATTCTCTTGTCACACATTCCTTATGGTTAGCACTTCACAGGAGCTTCCACGACAGCGACGACACTTTTCTTCAAGTATTAGAAAAAAGACAGAAGATGTGGTTCCTAAGGCGCACCACTTCAGTTTGAGGAGACAGGAGCTGATTACAGGAAGTAGAAGCCAAGAGATCTTAATTTCGTAATTTCTCTTAGTTTGCCATTTTAGGTGTCTAAGTGTCAAATGAAGGAAAGTGCGTTGAGGGGGTCTCCCTCCGACTCGGTTTTCTTTCATTCCTGTGTTGCATGTTGCATTTCCACCATTATAAATGTTCATACATCTATAATGGGAAAAAAATCTAAATAAGGTAAAGGGGGCCATCGCATGTCACCCCAAATCCACGTTGTGTCCAGACTGACTGACCTGAACTTCACTGTGCCGGGTTTTCCTCCAGTCCACTCACATTATGCATGCTGCCGTTCTCTCTGAAAGCCAATAAGGGAACCTTTTTCTTCTCCTCTTCTTCATTTTCCACCTCCTCTCCATCTCCATCTTGACGGGACAGTTTGGTCCCCACGGGAACCTCTATGACCTCCTCGAAAGCCTCTGTGACAGTGCCGTTTTCTCTGAGCTGGGCAGCCACACTTGAAGTGAAGAAAGGTGATTTATAAACTGTTTTTACATCAAGTTTGAGTTTCTCAGATTAATCATCTTGTTGGCTTAAATGCTTGTTCTTGTATTCTCATGTGAAGTCATTTGGGATAAAAGTGTCACTGTCTACTAAATTAATAAATGGAAATAGTGCTCATACTGTTTGTAAACAAATTATCTAAAGTGCTTAGAAAAGAAAAAATAAGTTGGAGTTCCTCCTATCACCAGTAGAGGGAGGGAGAGATTCATTTAATACATTATATTGATCCATTTAGCAGACAACTATCCAAAGTGACTTTGAAATGTGGACAAATAAAAGCAATTTCAAACAAACAAAAAAACACAGGGACAGCAAATGTGCAGTAAGCATACCAATATCATCTTAAATGTCAAAAATTAAGCATTATCATTAACTCTTTCCCCGCCAGCATTCATTTGAGATAAATAAATAAATTAATACATTTAAATGTAAATAGTGCTCATACTGTCTGTATACAAATTATCTAAAGAAAAAATTGTTGGAGTTCCTCCTATCACCAGTAGAGGGCAGGAGAGATTCATTTACTGCATTACAGTATACTGATCCATTTAGTAGATAATTATCCAAAGTGATCATGTTAACTACATGATCTAACAGTAACATTACTCTGGTCTCACCTGTGACCTGATGTGGGCAGTATGGGTGTAATGAAGCTGGGCCCCGTGTGTCCGTTACTGTCACTGCATGCTGTCTCAGAGGTCTCCGGAGCCTGAGCCTGAGGGGCCGACACAGTCACTGAAGGGATGCTGGATATCGCTAAGAAAGACATGAGAGTGGACGGTTAGAGATGTCAGATTCACAACAGGCATCATAAATTGGAAATGTCATGTCAGAGTAAGGAAACACTGGTGCACATGTAAACGTAAAAAATCACAAATCACCTGAATTCTGTCCGCTCTGCTGGCTGACATCGCCATTGCTCTGTGGGGTGGTTTTCTTCAAAATGTAAATAAATGGAAAAAAGTAAAGTGTGTTAGTGAAGAGCCAGCACTTCAAATTAGCGGTAACAATGCTAAACTGTACTCGTTCAGAAGATGCGTAATAGCGCCCACCGAGTGTATAACAGTGAAAACACGAAAAGCCGTAAAAACTCGTC